AAAAATTATATTCTAAAGTCTATGATGATTACTTACTTTGCCCACTAAGAAAGCCTCCAATAGAAGACGATTTGTTGTTTTGAAAAATTATGATAGTTGGGAATAGGTTTCATGGAACAAGTAGAAGCTTAATAGGGATTTACTATTTTGATATATTAAGAAGAAATAGTGTAAATTTTCTTTATTGTTTAATAAGCTTATTACACAAGCTTAAGCTTTTTTTAAAAGTTCAGTGTTGTTATTTTTAATCAAGTAATGATTTGTTATTGTAAAAATAATTTGGGAAAATACAGTTATGTTTGTTAGTTTTTCCTCACTATAACAAATATTTAAGATGATAAATTTATAAAGAAGAAAAGGTTATTGGGCTCATCATTTTAGAGGATTCACTTCATAATCAAGCAGGCCCATTGCTTTTAGCCCTCTTGTTACAATGCAAGAGGCCAGTTCTAGTCCAGGTTCTTGTGAGAGAGGAAGGAAGAGTCCTAAAGTGAATACTTGGCACTAAGTAGCCAACCCCCAGTTTAAAGGCTAGGCTCTTCTGGTTTAGGTGCCTTCTGCTGAATCTCAGGAATGATTGACAGAGTGCTGAGTCATTTCAGGGGCTCTCAACACAGCATGCTTGTCCCAGAATCTAGGTCTGAATTATATGGTTGACACATCATGCATATTTATGACCATGTAATGAGGTGGGAGTAGGGTAAAGTGATCAGAAGATCAGGCTCTGAGATGCAGCACTTTTGTTACTTTATTTTCCACCTCTCTCAGGACAATAAAAACAGGAATAACTGTAGGGTGCTGTTTAGAATTAAATGGAGAGAAGGCAGTGACTTGCTCTGCTCCATGGTTTCCAGCTATGCTACTCTGATGTGGGTGCTGGAGGCAGTGGTGAGGAGTGCGTGGTGGAGCCAGACCACTCACCAGACAGCCAAGGAACCGAAAAGAGAAAAGGCAGGGAATGGACCCCACAGTCCCCTTCAAAGGCACACCTCCAGGGGCCTGCGACTTTCCACCAGGCCTGACCTCCTAAAGGTCCCACCCTCCTAACACCACCACACTAGAGCCAAATTCTTTACCACATGGACCTTTGGAGGACACAAGATCCACGCTACAGCAACAGCCAAAAAGAACGCAGGAACAAACAGCTGGGAGTTGCAGGGACAGTCCCTCTTCTGCCACTGACTTGCTTCCTGGCCGCTTTTTCTTCTAAAAATAGAGTTTATATTAGGGAGTTGAGATTTTTGGTCAAGGATACAGATTTTCAGTTAGGATCACTAAGTTCAAGAAACCTAGGGCCGGGGAGATGGTTTAGTAGAATAAGTGCTTCTCTGGCAAGCACGAGGGCCTGAGTTCAACCCCTGGTTCCGAAGGGAAAAGAAAAAGAAAGAAAGGAACCTGTTGTTTGGTGGGAGAGAGAGCTCAGCAGCATAAATGTCTGCCTGACAAGCAGAAGGTCCTGAGTTTGATCCTTGGTACAAAAAAAAAGAGAAAGAAAGAAACCTAGTGTAAACCATGGTGACTGTAGTTAAGAACAATATCTTATATACTTGAAAATAGCAAGGAGAGTAGATTGTTAGTGTTCTCATTACAAAAAAATGTGACCTAATATATTATTTGGCTTAATTTATTCCACAATATTCACATATTTTAGAATACCGTGTTCTATGCCATAAATTATTAAATATCATGTTCTATACCATCATTTGTTAGTAACTTGCTGTCAGTATTTAAAAATAAATAGCAAATAAATGAAAAAAGGCAAAAATGAAAAAAAAAGAATAGAAAAAACAATAAATGTTGATGAGGATAAAAAGAAAAAACTCTTCACATTGCTGGTAGGAATATAAATTACTAAAGCCACTGTGGAGGTCATTGTGGATGTTCCTCAAAAAGCTAAAAAATAGAACTACAGTATGACCCTTCCCTTGGCATATATCCAAAGAACTAAAGTCATCATACCATAGGGATACCCATACTCATATTTATCATGGCACAATAAACAATAGCTAAGATATGGAACTAGCCTAGGTGCCCATTAACAGATAGGTGGATAAAGGCACTGTGATACACATACACATAGAGTACTGCTTAATTATTAAGAAGAATGAAATTTTAAAAAAGATTGAAATTATGTTGCAAGAAAATGGATGTAACTGGAGATGAATGTATTAATTAAACCAGATTCAGAAAGACAAGTATCACATTTTCCCTACTATGTGCAGTCTATATGCAATCAAACCGGTTAGGTTTAATCCCCGGCATGCAGTGCCAGACCTACCCCCAGGGGCGCAATGAGACAGTGATTGAGACTGGGTGTGGTAGCACACGCCTGTAATCCCAGCACTTGGGAGGCTGAAAACAGGAGGATCACTACGCGTCTGATCTGCTTACTGAGACCTTATAGGCCCTGTACTAGACACATAAAAAACAAGCAAAACTGAATCCTTTAATAATTTCATTTATTTGGGCCAGGGATGTGACTCGATGGCGCAGCACCTGCCTAGTAAGTGCGAGGCCCAGAGTTCGATTCCCAATACCAAAAAAGAAAAAAAAAAAAAAATAGTGAAAATAAGACCAAAAAAAGTCCCTTTGGAAAAAAATAATTTCCTTTATTCCTTGCAATAATAATAGGTATGAAGACTTTCATTATTTCTATTTTACTGAATAGGAAACTAGAGTTTAGAAAGTATTTTTCCTGTACTGGGCATGAAAGTACAAGGGTTACTTTTGTTAGATAAGAGAAAAGAAATGGAGAAGTATATGAGGGGATGGGAAAGGATGCTTGTGTTCAGAATATATGCTTATATCAAAATACTGCATTGAAACTTACATTTCATAACATTTATAGGCACCAATAAAATAAGACATTTACTAGATTGTTTCAGACAACTGGGAAACAGAATTTTATTCTTTAACTTTTATAAAATTCGCCATCTGTTATACTCATTGGTGAGTTAAAATTTTATATACTTTTATAAACTAGTGAAATTTAGTGTCCTTTCTAGATTGCCCCAAAAGTATGGTTCTGTGGACCAAGCTACACTCTTCCATTTATGTCTGTACTCTTAGAAAGTCCATTATAATTAAGAGAACTGATATCTATATTTTTTAGGTATTGATACACATTCACAAAGTTGTAATCTTTGCTGGAAGAAAGTGATAAGTAGCATCAGTATTATTTTGAAATATGACTGATTTGGGTATAATTTACTCTTATAGTGTTGGGCCTGGAACCTTGGATCACATACATGCTAGATGCCATGTTCTGCCACTGAACTCTACCATTAGCTCTGGAAGAATTTACTTTTAAGAGAGCCAGAATTTTAAAGTTCATTTACCTTGTTAAAATTTTTCTCTATAGTATCTTTCTGATACCAGATCATTTTTATCTCTTTCATGAGTGCTTCATTTTGCCTAGCCTTAAGGCAAAATTTTCATTTGCCATAGGCTGTGAAAGAAAGTTACTTCTTTTGGGAGGTAGTAATATAATAGCAAGGGTCCTAGAGTGCCCCAGTTGGTTCTAGATCCT